ATCGGACAAACCAACATAAGTGTCTACACGTAATTTTGTTTGTTCTCTTCAAATGTATTTTAGTCTATCTCCTTCAATACGACAATAATAGTCTACAAAAAGCTGTTGAGTAAGTTTTCCAGCGCTTCCTATAGGATTGAAGTTTCCAGCACAACCATTTCCCCTAACTGAAATTCTGTATAGAATATACTCTCTCATGGTAACAGTTTTCCGTATTTTTGTTTCACGCGTTCCCTCAATAGGCAAATTTATATGCCAACCAGTTTCACCGCAGGGCCAAAATAAAATATAACACATGGGGTCACAGTGCATACTATCATAATCGATTTTCTTTAAACCTCCTTCCTTTTCATACACTGTAATATGTCTATGTGAAGGTGGCGCACCATCCTCCGTCTCAAAAACAGCCGCAATTTCTGAGGCAGCTGGGTCATTGTAACGACGCTGATCTGCAAATGGCTCATGATAGAACCTCATAACAAAATTAAGAGGAACACGGTTCTCATTCTGTGCATGAAGTTTTTCCTCTTCTACTTTCTGGTGCATGGTTTTGTAAGATCGAACATAGGGGTTACATTTGTCTAACAAATTACTTAAATCATTTAGTGTATTATTGTCTAAATTTAGGTTAGCATTGTGAGAAATCCTAATTTCATTAGATTTGGCGAAGTCAAGAATATATAACTGGCCATAAGAAGCACTTTGTGAATCCTTGGGATATAAAGGCGAAATTAAGTGGTGGACCATGCCATGGATTCTGAAGGTATAAGGACCATAACTCGGAGGTAGGTCTACATTAGCACCAAAAGAAACAAACGACATTGCATTATTGTACTGCCTTAAATTTTCTCGGAAGTTTTTGGATTTTTCATCATTTCCAGTATATAGTTTTTTTATCTCCTCAGGAATTTTATTGGGTGGTAACTTAATTTTCCCATCATAGCAACACAAGGAAAAGATCCCCGATGTATTTTTTTCCGCTTTAAAATACAATGCAGAGCAATGTCTACACACTTCCTGAAGGCTCCCTACAGAGAAAGCACGTACATTTGGGATCTCTTCAGAAACGGCACATCGTGAAGACGGCTTTAAGAATGGTTTTTCAACGACAGTCTTTCTAGTAACATCGTCATCCCTCTCACGCCTCCCCGTTAAAGTTGAATTGCTCATAGGCCTACGCTTCTTTGCAGGAACTGTGACCTCAATCTGATCCCCTTTATAATGGGATTGGGAAGGTATAACATTTTTGTCAGTACACCCAAGACTGTGCATTGGTGTTACGCATGAAGAACTGTCACTTTTATGTTTAAGGACGCTATAGTGTCCATCATCTAAATTACCTGTGAAGAGTAGGTTGTGAATTATACTACCAGAACCAAATTCAATTATTGATTTAGTATGTTCAATGTGCACCTTAAATTTACACTCGTGAAATAATTCACCAGCACTATTAAGTTCAACATGCCCTGCTTTTTGTCCATTGGCGGACATCACAGTTTCGTAATCACTAACGTTCTTAATATAATGTCCATAAGAAGTGTCCCCAACTATGAAATATCTATATAAATTCCACTTTCTTATTACATCATCAACAATAACTGATCTTATTTCAGAGTGTCTATTTTCACTACCATGCAAACAGTAAGATATAGCACGAAATAAACAGTTTCCGTCACCAACAATAGGAATCATATCAAAAGTAGGAAAATTAGTCTTCAAAGAATTATTACTCACGGTAATTTGCCCTATCTTTGATGAAGTAGCGTTGTGTGACATCGGTACTACATTAGACTCATTTGGAATCTTGTCTAAAAAGGCACAGCTTGAAGACGGCTTTAAGAATGGTTTTTCAACTAAAGTCTTTCTTGTAAAATTGACACCTCTCTCACGCCTTCCTGTTAAAGTCGAATTGCGCCTTCGCTTCTTTGCATGAACTGTGACCTCAATCTGATGCGCCAAAATTAGGCGGACATTAAGGCCTAAACTATGGACACTCGGAGGGTTAATGATGCCAGGACACCAACGTTATAATTATGTGTACTATGAATTTTATTGGATGTTTTTGTTTTATTTTAGGGAGTTTCAATTCAGACCTACTGGAAATTGTGTATAGTATGAGTAATTGTATTGTGTTGATATTGATTATGGATGAGGCAGGTATGCGATGGAAGGTGATATCATTGACTAGGCCTATACACTTCTCAATTGATAATTACTCTTTCTACTGTAGGCTGCAATAAAATTTGTCTTTGTACGTTTAAACTAGCTGTTCTGAATTATAGGCCTACACAGTTTTAATTTTAACTGACTACTCCCGTACGTAGGACGGGCTAACACCTCGTAATAATTATTATTATTGATATTATCAAATTGGTGGGTCGCAAAAATTTGTTCAAAATGAAGCTGGGTTGCCTGACCAAACAGTTTGGAAATCTCTGCTTTTAGACCTTCAAGCATTCTTAAGTATAGCCTAGTTTTTTTTTCTCACAAGATCCACTTCAAGCTATAGTTTTTTTTTTCTAAAGATTTTAGTTTTAAAATGTCAACATTATATTTCTGATTTAAAACATGGCTTTGTTTTAATAAGGCTTGGTTTTAAACGAATAAAAGCATTGGTGGTTTAGGCTGTAGCCTACTTTATGCGGATTTGTGACTGCATTAAGTCCTTTGAAGGTAGGTTAGATTAGGTAAGTTAAAGTGTAGGTTATAGAATATAATTTATAATAGGCCTAGGGTACGCTGTGCAACTTTGTTGGTTATCTAGATAAATAGGCCTACTGTAGTTGGGTATTTAATGACCATTTACTTATAGGGTTTGTACCCGATTTTTGTAAGTTTTGCCTCATTATACTCAAAATTTGACAGTGGGATTTGATAAATAATTAGCCTACATAAATAAATAATTAAATAATAATAATAATAATAATAATAATAATAGTAATAGGTGGCATGGTAAGACCTAGAACTGGGACCAATTTACTTTTTCATTTTGATGTCTCCTGAGGTCAAAAACACTATTCGTTCAAATTTTTATATATGTATATATATATATATAGGTATATATATATATATATATATATAGATTTATATATATATATATGTGTCCGTGAACGCGATAACTCGAGTAATTTTGGTCTGATTTTAATGAAATTTGGCATGAACCTATAAAGCATGATAAACTTGAATGAGTTTGCGAACCAGCATGATCGGACCATGGGAACAGGGTTTTACATGGGGTTTTATAGAGTAAAAAATGGTTTTTCTCATTTTTGACCCTCAAAACACAAAATTTTCCAATTTCTCTCTAAACCATTTTAAAGAGCTTAAAAAAACAAATAACTTAGTATATCAAAGTGTTTTTGTACGGTCATTGGTATCGGAGAAAGTTCAAAAAATAGTAAATTTAAATTTCCCATGTTATTCTTATGGAGAATATTGTAAATTGTTGTATTTTGGTTGGTTAGCGAAATATTTTGATCACACTTGGCTTATTCATTTGTTTTTAACTAAGCTAATAACGATTGAGTAGAAAATACACTCTATCACCCTCCCAATGATCAGCCCATGGAAATAGAGTTTCATAAGGGGTTTTGGGGTAAAAAATGGTTTTTCTCATTTTTTACCCTCAAAATACAAAATTTCCCAATTTCTCTCTAAACCATTTTAATGAGCTTAAAAAAACAAATAACTTAATATATCAAAGTGTATTCCCTATAGGGGAAATTCGCTAATAAGTAATGATAATAATTAAATTTGATAAATGGGATTCTTTTCAACGGAAAACGACAACAACCCCCCTAAAAACCAGGAAAACTACATAAAATATTTTTTAAATCTCTTTAAAATGTGGGTTCTCAAATTAACCGGAATAACAAGCAGATAACAAATAGGCCTATGGGTAACGAAAACTGACCAAACCTAACCAAACTTGCTGCATAATTCTATATATCAGTTTTACAAGAGAAAATGCATATGGTGGGGTACCAGTAGGGGGTACAGTTTTTTTAACTGGGCTATGCTAATATCGATTGAAACTATCGATTCGATTAGTAAACCTTCATGCGAATTTTTCACCATCAGCAAGTTTGGTTGGTTAGGTTAGGTTAAGATAGTTTAATTTGATTTGAAATATATTTAAAAATATCGATTACTAGCTGTACCCACGGGCTTTGCCCCGTTTAACTTTATAAGTGAGCTCGTTCGCATGGCTCAATCACGTCCTGGTTGAAGTTCGTTCGCTACGCTCACTCACTTTTAGGTTGGAGCTCGTTCGCTGCGCTCACTTGCCTTCAGGTTAGCTCGTTCGCTACGCTAACTCGCCTCCAAGTTGAAGTTCGTTCGCTACGCTCACTCACCTTTTGGTTGCAAATTAGCTGTTGTCATAAATGTAAAAGAAATAATAGTGCTGCACCCTGTTGGTAATGCTTGCAACTTTTAATGCTATTGAACATCATAGAACAGAACCAACATGTTTAATTGAAACAGCTGTTAAGATTCATTAATCCCATTTAAATATGAGAACTCATAAGGTTAACATGGGAAACTCCAGAGCCACTGGGGTGGAGCCCGAGAGTCCGATCAGAATAAAAACAGCTTAGCTTTCCTATTTAATGCCTAAAGAATCGGTGTACCAAATTTCAGCCTCCTAGGTAAATGGGAAGTGGGAGAATTAGTGATGAGTGAGTGAGTCAGTGAGGGCTTTGCCTTTTATATATATAGATTAATCAATATTTTCAATTCGATAGTTTCAATTGATATTAGCATAGCCCAGTTAAGAAACTGTACCCCCGGTAGGCTGTACTTTGGATCTGCGACTGCAATTAAGTCCTTTGAAGTTTGAAGTTAGGTTAAATTAGGTAAGTTAAAGTGTAGGTTATAGTCTACTGGGTAGTTATTTAAGAGTTTAATCATTAGTACTGTCTTGATTGATTTTCAGTGTACAGACATAGGCTAAAAGGAACAGTGAGTTATAGAAACAATAGTAAGAAAGGATTACTCACGTTAAATGCTTTAAAGAAGTCACATATTTCAGTATAATAAGTTACTCTTGCTTATTCATCAAATTCAATCCTTGTTCTAAGCATGAAATTAGTAAAATCAGGAAGCTAATGAAGCTATTACAGTAGTACTTCAGTTATAACTTATAAAAAAACTTGAAATGAAAAGAGGGTAGGTGTTAGGTGTATGGTGTATGTATGGCTCTGGGGATGGGGAGTGGGATTTTTTAAACGTTATTTATCCCTATTCGGGGAAATTTTTCAAAACTTTTGATCCCTTTCAGGGATTTTCTCCAGTTTTGTATCTACAGCAGTATAAACCATGTAGCCCTAATATTTTTGGGGCGAGGAATTCGATGGGACCATCGCCGTCCCCCTACGAGCCCCCCCTTTCTAATTACACGGTGTAGATAGATTTCTTTGAATAAAATATAATTTTTTCCATTTGTGTTTATTTATTAGTACCTGGAGACCGAGCTTTACTCGGGAAACTTTATCACTACACTATACTCTGAGAGTATTCTTTGGTCAATGTAATTCTATCCCAAAAATAATAATTTGTGGTATATTTTTTCTTGACATCTATTTAACTTCTATTACAATAATAATATCATAGTTTACTGAAATGATAAGATAGAAGAGTTTTTTAAAATTTGTTTGGTTCCCCTAAACGGCCCAAACTATAGAAATTACCCATAGTGCAGTAGAAATAATCGAAAATATAGCTTAAGGTGGAACTAATTGCAACACAAATGATTCTTGCTGTGAATGGTAGGTAGTATGCTTCTAATCAACATACTAAAAATATACATCCGTACTGTGGCGCAAAATACGTTTTTTGGCAGCCATCTTGAAAAAAGTGTCAAAATTTTAATATTCGTAAAAATAACTTTTTGGGTATCAAATTATAGGAAATTTAATGCTGAAAAATGTTATAATAGTGGTTATAAGCACTATTTAGAAATACGATCGTAGTACAAAATACCCCCGCCGCAGCAAACCTACGGACTAAACGAATTTCCATTTGTCTTAATTGATTTTCAATTGAATCTAGTAATTTAGTTTTAAAAATCTTTGTACAACTAAATCTAGAGTTCTACTGGACCGATTTTATAACCTAATGGGCCATTGGAAAGGAGTTCGTGTAGATTTTCAAATAATTAATAAAGTTTGATTTTTTAAGATTTGCTAGGTGAAACCCGTCAACGTCGACAATTAGCTTAGGTACTGTTGAGTTTGCAAGTAAGATCTTTTTAACTATAAATCGATGATAGATAACTCCATTTTTAAACAATTTGGGTCGTTTATAATTTAGCAGTGTGCTTTAGGTACGTCCAATCTCAATAATCAATAATTTCAATGGAATCTGGTATTTCACTGAAGATTTTTAGATAAAAACATATAGGATAATGTAACTGCTGGAATACATTTTTAATTGAAGTAAAAATTGAAAAAATCCAATTTAATTGTTTTCGTAGGGTTATACATTTTTTTGTTTTTTAAGAGGTTGGCGGCCTCTTTTAACCTTGCATTTGCCCGTCCACATAGACTAAGCGCCCGTTCGTGGATCGTTTACAGCAAAGCAAGGAGTGAGCCGGTACAGTACAAAGGTGAACTGTACTGATAAGATGTTATCGGCAGTGACCAGGATCCGAACCCACGACACTACTGCCTTGGGCCCGAAGTCCACGACGCTACCGACTGAGCCACCGACTTACTAATACAATAGCACGATAGAGTTGTAGAGTTGTTGAGAAAATTGTATAGCACAATTTTAGCTATAGGCCTATATAGCAGGATCTGCTACATATAGCAGTGTTATATAGGACTTTTGTAAAGTTACTTTTTCTACTTCTAGCAAATGTTATATAACATTTGATAGATTGATGATGACAAATATGTGCTTGCATAGCTTTGAGACCAAAATTATGAAAATCGGTCCGGTAGAAGAGCCAAACGAACTCGAAAAAACAAATTTAACTCCCGTAAGTAATGTACAGGGAGGCAGTTTGTGCATAGCTCAAAATATACGTCAAAATGAGTGCTGATGCTTAATAGCAAATCTATTGTGCGTCTATAGCTTTAGTTTAAGGCCGAATTTACACTATGTAGCAAAACCTGCTATATAACTTTTGCTATATAACATTGCTTTATAACTTTTGCTGTATGAAAAATTTACAAACAATTTTATAGTGATTCTGGTGCTCGTGCTATATGTTATATGTAGCACAACCTCATTCGCATTCCGAATCGAAATGTGCGCTGAAGAGACATTGTTCATGGCAGCTATCGTGGTGATCTTGGAAGTCAGAGAGAGAGACAGACAGGAGCGAAGATTTTAGCAAGTTTTAGGTTTGACCGCTTCTTGCTTCAAGAAATAAGTACAGTGTAGCAGATTTATTACGGGACCTTAATGATGATGAATACCCTGACAATCCATAATTAAAACGCTAAATAAGGCGACGGTAACTTCAAAAACGTTTTACGTATGATCACAACGCCGGTTGTCCACGGAACAGTTCAATTAAGTTTATAATATCAATAGCCCCAATAATATCATCCCGATCCTAGGCACTGCCACTTTCCGTTTCCAGTCCTTCCATTGTAAACAATGATCGCTGAGCAAAACCGTTCAGCGCTACATATAGCAGATGCTAGACGAAAAATATATGTATATCATTGCTACATATGGCAATGTTAGATGTAGCACGTATTTCTTTTGATATTTACCGACTCCCGATGGATAGCACAATTTTAGCTATAGGCCTATATAGCAGGATCTGCTACATATAGCAGTGTTATATAGCACTTTTGTAAAGTTACTTTTTCTACTTCTAGCAAATGTTATATAACATTGCTAGATGTTACACAAATCTGCAATGTAGCATGTTTAGCTACATAGTATAAACCCGGCTTAAGGCCAAAATTATGAAAATCGGTCTGGTAGAAGAGCTAACCCGACTCGGAAAAGAAAAACCAATTATTTTTATAGATGGCAATAATTGATTTACCAGTATGCATAATCTAACCATACGAAAAATGAGTTGATAATTTAACAGCTTATTGTTATATTGTTATTTAATTAAATTTTCGTTGATTAAATATTGTTGTTAACAATTTGCATTTGTGTTTAAAGTGTGTTTCTTATGTTAAGTGTGTGATTCTAATGTTATGAGATTAATACTGTATGTACCAAATATTAGTGAGTAAAGTGGTGTATGGATTTCATAACCATTATTTTACTAGAGACCGTTGCATTAATTTAACCACAATGGGCTCTGTTGCTAGTCTATTAAATAAATAATATTAGGTTTAACGAAACGAGTACCAAGGTTTGCTGCTACAAGGAAACCAATTAATTGTGTTTTTAGTAAAATATTAATTGTTTAGTATAAAATAAATAAATCTTCAAAGTTTTATCAAAATATATCCATAAACAAGGAAACTACACCTTTTTACCATATTCTCCATAAGAATAACATGGGGATTTTAAATTTCCAATTTTTTGAATTTTTCCCGTTACCAATAATCGTACAAAACCCCTTTGATATACTTAAATATTTGTTTTTTAAGCTCTTTAAAAAGGTCTAGAGAGAAATTGGGAAATTTTACGTTTTAAAGGTCAAAAATGAAAAAAACAAATTTTAAAAGTATAAAATAACTTATAAATAAAAAAAACTTTTCAAATGCCACGTTTTTAAACGCACCTTTTTTCGCCCATAGTGCATCACTGTTAACAGTATATTTTAAATTCAACCATTATATTCTTTTTCAGCATGAAATGTTCTATAATTTGATACCAAACCAGATTTTTTAACAATAATTTAAAATTTTACACTTTTTTTAAATGGCGACCAAAAAACCGTATTTTGCGTAACAGTACAAATGTATATTTTTAGTATGTTTTTTATAAGTGTATTACCTACCATTTCTAACTGGAATAATAATTTCTGTTGCCATTAGTTCCACCTCAAACCCTATTTCTACTGCACTACCAGTATTTTTCACGCTGAATTCGAAAGGCAAAAAGGTTATCAGCACTCAGCAGTAAGAAAATCTTCGTCACTGCAAGAACTTGGACTCGCTCCGAAACCAGAACCGAAACCTTTAATTTACCCTTAATTTTTAAAATGTAATAAGTTACAATTTTCCGGAAACTCAAGACACTTTCTGACTGAAAAAAATTACGGTTGATCCTTGTTGGTGAGTACCAAAAAGGGAACTTAGGTATAAACATGGTTGTATATCCAAGTTTGGTTGTCCTCGATATAATAGCACTATTTTATTGACACTGATAAATTATGGACTAGGCATGCCCTATAAGTTAATTGGGAGTTTATTTATCTGGTCCTAAACTTACAGCCATCTTAAGGCAAACATAACTAAAACCTAACCACAGAGATATAAATATAAGTGATACAAATATAAACACTCATCCTCTGTAGGCCTAAAGCTACCTACCTATATTTTATTTGGGTTAGTACTTTTTGAGAGAGTGTCATTATGTACTGAACACACCTAGATGATATAGGGAATTAGTGATTCATGAAATTATTCATTTATAAAAAGCAACCTAACCGAGTTACCTTAATAATGTACCCAGTATTCAATACAAAAATTAAAGCTTATGCCTATGTATATTAGTTTTAAAACGGAGTAGAATAAGGCACGTATAATCTAGATTAGGCATTGATTAGTGTTAATAAACTAAAAATGGATGAACCATTAAGTCAAGCTACTAACCCAGTTGTTCAGGCTAGGCTAATTTGAGTCCTGAAAGCATCCATCTCAAAACGGCCGAAACTTAAGAACAGATCCTAAGAATTTGATTTTTAAACTTGATTTTTCTGAAATAGATAGCTAAACTGTCCATTGCAATCATCCCACACTGCTAATAGCAACACTAAAACTTAGTTAGGTAAGCTAGTTGTAGGTTACAATTAATAATTATCCCTGTGACCGATTACCGATTCAGTGTACCATCTGACATCAGTCAGAATCAGATGACATTTTTGACAACGACACGACTCGACAACCAACGAAAAGAGTAATTTAGTGATGATAATTATTATTAGAAGCATTAAAAATAATAAAAAAATAAAATATACTGTATCGCTCGTTTATATTGGCAAAAGTATCAAATAAACAGTAATAAAGCTGAGAATAATGTAAGAATAGTTTTTTAATGGTT